AGTGGGCGGGGCCCGAATCTCATAGTAGTTAGAGTGGGCGGGGCCCGATGCTAATAGTATTATTTGAGTATAGATATGTGATTGATTGGTAGATGTACTTGTTGTCTGTGTGATACTTGTATGTATGTTAGTAGCGGAGTGTGGGCGGGGCCCGAATCTCCTAAACAGCGGAGTGTGGGCGGGGACCGTATCTCCTAGTTGCTTGATATTTGTATGGTATGTTGTAGTTTGGGGAACTCACTAAGCTTCGTGCTTACAGTTTTCAGTTTTGGTTTCAGGTACTTCCACTAGCAAGGAGAAGGGCTCGGGATGATCGCATGGCACACACCACAATTTCAACCTGGGATGTTTAGACTCTGATGTTTTCATATGATATGATACAGTATTTTGACACGATGTTTTGAAATACATGATTATGGTTTTCTTTATGATGATGGATGACGTATGGTTTTATTATAATGATTTTAAAACGAAATTTTTGGCCTATATTTTTGGGATGTTTCAAAAAACTACAAAATATGGAGAAACCAGCCAACTATGAAAGGAACCAAAAACAACCAACTACGAAAGAGCACCAAATCATTTTGGTTTGGCATTTGGTGGGGGAGGGGGTAGTTTTGATGAAGTAAATGATAGTATAGTGCTCATGTGGTTAACTTTTACCATGTCATTTGAAGTCCTTTAGAAACTAATCAAATGGTTGTTCGAATGTGATTTTCTCTATATGATTAGGGCTTAGGTGGTTGGGTTGGTCATTTTTCTTTGTTTGAAGGTAAGGGTAAAATGGTCATCATTCATCATTACCCGTTCAACCACTTAACCCATGCAAGACTTAATGGGAAAATAGGAAGAAAAAAAACCCTTTTAAACTTTGATTAAGAGTGAATAAGCCACATGCAAAGGGTGTTTAATATGGAGAAAAATAAGTACATAAAGGGGTATGAAAGATGGAAAGAAGATACCTGATTAGCAACTGTTTTTGTCAAGATCATAGACAGAAAGTGAGTACATCATAACAGGAGGTTGATTTCTCATTTATCCACGTTCATTTCTCATTTATCCACGTTCTTTTGTTCTATTGCTTATTAGGTACTAATGGACTCCATGAATATGCTTATGTATAAGTAACTAACAATGTTAAAAGGTTTGTAGAATAATTTTTAAAAGTTTAAATTTCAAAAAGTTGGAATATATAAATATCACAATCTTTCATATGTTCATTAAAAATGTAATTAATTTCACTGATAAAAAATTAGATAACTTCAAATTTTTATTTGTATCTAAAATTATTGTTGATTGTATAGATATATACAATTATCAAATTCCATAATAAATTACCAAAATAAAGTTGATATATAGTCATAATCTTACAAAAAACTAAAGTTTGAAATACATTTTTAAAAATGATGGCAAGCGGTTATATATAATGGGAGATGACAATTTAGTCGTTTTAAATGTAACCAACGATAAAAAAAAAACTACAATTGAAAGGGTTTACTCATACAAATATGAAATGGTTATCGTTTATATAAGTTAAAAATAGTTTGATATAGTCAGTTTTTGGCAGCTAAAAATAAACATCATAATTTTTATTTTCAAATAACGACAACTTAAATAAGAATGTTATTTGTCAATTAAAATGTTTAATTTTCATATATTATAATATATTATTATATCTAAAACCGATAAACATCATCATGAAAAATAAAAGATAATTCTTTTACGTTTTTTGGTTAACCATCTGATGCAGAAAATTTGATTCGTAACAAATCGAAAAACCAAAGATTTATTAGTTTAGTTAATCAAAATGCCATCACAGGACCAATGATTTATTAGTTCGGTTAATTTTATTTTTTTTCGGTTAATCAAAAAGTCATTAAATGCTTTCATTGATACAATCTTTTCATCATTGGAAATTAATAGATCCGAATCAGATTATATTATTTTGCATGCAATATTATCCACAAGAAATGATAGTGTCGATGAGATTAATGATAACTTGATCGGCCGAGTCTATGAAGAAGAGAATTTACTATAGTTTTGATGAAGCCATAGACGATATAAATAACTTCTATCATGTGGAATTCTTTAACACGCTCTGTTACTGTTTTGTTATTATTATTTAAATACTTAAACAAATAAAAAAAGATAAAACTGCATTAATATTTATAAAATAAATATATAAAAAATACAAAAAAGAAATTTAAAGGGCAAAACAGTCAATTCAAGTGCTTCATGGACCAAAAATACAAATTTTTCTTAAGTTTAGGACCAAAAACCCAGAAAAACCTTGATTTTGGACCTTCTGTGTAAGCTGGAAATTTTTTGGACCCCATTCAAAGATTTTTGCAAACCACAATGACCAAATTTGCAGTTTTGTCTAAATATCTTGAAGTTAACAAAAGACTATCAACAATCTTTTTGATGTAAAATTTAGATAATGAGTCCATTCTTGTTTTGATGTATATAGTCAAGTTTGAATTTTTTGATGTACATATATGTTATTTATAGTAAAAAAAATTAAAGAAAGAAAAAAAAAGAAAGAAAAAAAGAAAGAATCGGATCGATTGCATATTTTATCATAGCAAAATTTTCATTATACAGACGAGGTGATCGTTTTCGAAGTTTTCATTTGTTGGCATTGATTTTATAGACAATTTATTTTTAGCCAACACATGCTTTTAGCACTGCTCTTTTGTATTTTGTTGTAACATTTTTGTATATTGTACATCGTTTTATTTTTCTTTAGCATCCTAGTTATGGAATAATGGAATCATGTTTTTCTAGTCACCTCGAGACTTAGATCTCAACATGGAATTTAGAAGACTATTGGGATTTGGGTAGCTACATGCTTGCTTGAGCGATGCAAAAGGAAGAATTGAGAGAATGAGGTATGATGCATGAAGGTGTTGGAGGTAACGACCTTATCTTTCTTATACATACTCTGTTTAAGCCGATTATTTCGCTCACACATTCTTTATTGCATGGATACATTCCAAGACCAAGAACTAAATACTTTGACCACATTAAGTCCTGATTTCATAGTATTAAAGATCGATTATCCGCTAACAACTTCTTTGTATCAAGTTAGAAAATTCTCAAAAAACAATACCGACTTTTTCATAGTATTATTTTACTAATGTACAAAAAAAAGTTATTATTATAAAACCAGCTATTATTAAAGGATAAATACACCCCTATTTACCGCTACAAATCCTCAAAATTGGGTGTTACACTTTTCACAAATCAATATGTATTTTTATTTGGAATTATTCGTAATCCTACCATAAATGATGTATTACTATAGTTAGTGGAATTTCAAAATACAATGTTATAATTATGTATGTGTTTTGGTTGTGTGTTTGCATGCGACTTTGTCTAAGTGTGTATGTGTGACTTTGTCATGTGTTTGTGGCAAAGATAGAGAGTACATTGGTATTTTGTTTTTTTTTTCTCCACACATTTTATCTCACTCCAATACAATTATTTTTCAAAAAAAATTTTGCTTTAACTTTTGCCGCAACGCGTGGACTTAAAACCCTAATTTCCAATAAGGACAAAACATATTACACATAAGAATTAGTATTATTTAAATAAAATAAAGTTTGATTGAAATCTCACCAAAAAATCCTCTTTCGTCCCAATTTAAAGGTTAAAGTACATAAAAGTCATTATATTTTCATGTTTTTTTTTTCCGATTTTGTATCTGTTTGTTTTTTTTTTTTTTGCAACTAAAACACTGGTTTTCCTAATTTGTTTCCGTCTTCACCACTTAACCAACTATTTGGTTGTCGGCTGACATGACATGTTGATATGACACTCCTTGATGAAGTGACGTTGAAATAGAATGAGAATGTGGTATGCCCATGTAGCAATCCTTGATGACATGGCAATGAGCTTTTTAATTACAAAAAGACTAAAATGTAACGACTTTTGTGCTATTTCGTCTCTTCATAAAAATAATGAAATTGTAACACTACTTCTTCGTAATTTCTTAACCATCCTATGTATAGAATACAAGATTTCTTCTGTATCGCACACCCGGTTGCTATCAAACCTCTTCTTTAACCTATACAAGCTCCATACCCTCTACTATAACACCCACATTTCGGGATTAGGTGTTTTTGTATTAAAAAGAATAACCTATTCAATTAGGTGTTAAAATTAATTATTTTTGGATAATTAACTTCCTTAATATTACAATTATAATAAATTTGGAGGGTTTATTTGATACCTACGTTATTTAGGGGTAATATTGGTCAAAATGGAAAACTTACTAAATTAAATAAAAGCTGTTAAAACTTAAAACTGAAATAAGACGAGCTGAACAGGAAAAATGACAATTCAGAAAGTGTAAATGAGAAAGCGTATTTGATAATGGGTAGTTAGTGGAACAAGAGGAAAATAAGGGGCCAAAAGTGTAAACATTTTAATTACATGATATACTTGCATAGTTGCATGAAATAGGGGAGAGCTCTAGTATCCTTGCTCACCCAATATGTATTTTAAGACGTACCCTACCCAAATATGAATACGGTATGCTATAAATCCAACCCTAAATACTCACGCAAAAGAGAGGGAGAGAGAGAGAGGAGAATCGGTGGCTTTCTCCTGCTACATCCTGTCCGACGGAGCCTTACAATTTCATATAGCAAAAAGCTTTTTTTTTTTTTTTTTTTTTTGTATCTTTACAAAAAAATATCACATATTAATGCTTGACAATAATTTTAAAATGATTAAATCACATGACCATCTGCAAGAATAATATATGATTATTTCATGTAAATTAACTTTTTTATATGCTATAATTAATAGAAATCATATCGACATGCTTGTTGCCACACGGTCTTTTGGTTCACCCACCGCACGACGCCTTACGATCACTAGTCACTACCGCACATTTCCTTGATGCACCGGGGTATTTTGGTAAATTACAAAATACTTGCAAGGCCTCATAATAAAAGAAACAGTACGTTACTTTCCACATCAAGAATTGATTTCTTTTCCACAATCCGTCCGTCGAATAATGGTTGACTATATACTACACAGATCCAACGGTTACACGAAGAGATACTACCTCCCCTATAAAATCATTAAAATGGCAGTGCTTGTGGCCCTTCTTGCCAACTCTTATACAACCCCTCCGGCTCTCCGGTCATCACAGGGTCGTATTCTCCGATTGAAAATGTTAGTCCGTTTTCTCACTATATATGTTTTCTATTTAACGGAAAGCTTGTTGGGTTTACTAGTTTTGTTTGATTCGTTATTATGATTTGCGATCAACTGTTTATGTTTTTTTTTTTTTTTTTCTGTTCATCGCACTGTATTGATTTTGGATTTCATACGCAGCATTTATACATCTGGTTTTATTTGTGTTTATAGGATAGATTTGTTATGTAGGGTGGGCTCGGCTGTTTTCACCATTTTTCAATGTGTGATCGATGTATGGTAGGTAAAAGAAGTGGAAATGTTGAATTTGTATTTTTAGACACGATCAACTCTCGTTCGTCGTATATGATACTGTGTATTTAGTTATCTCTTAGGCACAAATTCCAAGGGAAATAACTATCCAACTGTTAGCGAGGAATACCAAAAGGCTGTTGAAAAGGCCAGGAGGAAGCTCAGAGGACTTATTGCAGACAAGAAATGTGCTCCTTTGATGCTCCGTCTTGCGTAAGATCTTACTTTCCTTTTGTATATACTTCAACATCATTTTTATGCATCCGTTTGTAGACACTAGCTTTCTAATGAATTAGTATGAACATATTTAACTAATCTGTAAATCGTTTAGAACTTGTTTGCATGTCTGTGTTTGTCATCTAGAATTCCTTCTAAGAGTAATTAGTTCATATATATTTACAAGTGGCAATCCAAAACGTAGCTCAGTTTTGTAACTAGTACCGAGATCTGTACATCGACTGATGTTTTGTGTTACAGATGGCACTCTGCTGGTACCTATGATGTGAAGACAAAAACCGGAGGTCCTTTCGGCACCATGCAATACAATCTTGAGCTAAGCCATGCTGCCAACAATGGCCTTGGCATCGCTTTCAGCCTACTTGAGCCTATTAAGGAACAATTCCCCATCATCTCATATGGTGATTTCTATCAGGTAATAAAGAAATTGATTGAAAAACTTATTCTCATTGATATCCCACGATGGGTATAAATAACATCAAGGAAAAGAAAATACCAAACTAGCCTTAACAATTGGTAAAGATAAAAGAGATCTAAGCCCACTAATAAACTAAAGATAAGATAAGATGGCAATTATTTAAAATTCCTTTACTCCCCCTCAAGCTGGAGCATGCAGATTTCTAATGCCCAGCTTGCCCGACAGAACACGAAGTCGTTCCGCTCCTAGAGCCTTGGTAAAAAGATCAGCAACTTGTAGTTTAGTATCAACACGAACGGGTTGAATTTCTTTGGTTTCAACTCTTTCCTTAACAAAATAACAATCCATCTCGACATGTTTTGTTCTTTCATGGAAGACGGGATTGTTTGCTATGTCTCGTGCAGCTTGGTTGTCACAATAGAGAGGCGTGGGACGATCTTGAGGAGCTTGCAACACTTTCAATAACCAACGTACCCACAAAACTTCACTGATTGTGATTGCCATAGCCCTATACTCTGCTTCGGCTGAAGAACGTGACACCATTGTTTGCTTTTTGGTTTTCCATGAAATAGGTGCACCTCCCAAAAGCAATAAGTAACCAGTACGTGATCTCCGAGTGTAAGCACATCCCAACCAGTCAGAATCACAATAAGCTTGTAACTCCAAACCGCCATCTCGTGGTATAAAAATACCTTGCCCTGGTGTTGCCTTCAAGTACCTGAGAACCCGTAATGCAGCATCCATGTGTGGTTTTCTAGGATCTGCAACAAACTGACTGAGCATATTAACTGAATACGCGATGTCTGGCCATGTAGCTTGCAAATAAAGTAGTCTCCTTACCAAACGTCTATACTGGCCAGCATCAACCGTCTCACTGTCAGTACAAAGGTCAAGTTGCAAGTTTTGTTCCATAGGAAAAGAACTAGGCCTACAACCAAGCATCCCACTATCTTCCAAAATATCTAGTGTATATTTTCTCTGACTCAACACTATACCATCAACTATTTTAGCTACTTCTATTCCAAGGAAGTACTTCAATGGGCCCAGATCTTTAATACTAAATTGCTTGTCGAGATAGTCTTTTGTTGCTTGAATTTTGTCTGAGTTATTGCCAGCAATGATAACGTCATCCACGTAAATTAAAGCCACAACAAAAGAGTTGTCTCTCTTGTATACAAAAAGAGAAGCATCTACATGGGATTGCACAAATTGTAAACGAGTGAGACTTACAGTAAATTTTTGGTACCAATTCCGGGAGGCTTGCCTCAGTCCATAAAGCGATTTTCTCAACCTACACACTCTATGATCTCATTCCTTTGAAAATCCTTCCGGAATACGCATGTATACTTCTTCATCAAGGTCGCCATGTAGAAAGGCATTGTTCACATCTAATTGATGAACAACCCAGTCCCTTTTAGTTGCAACAGCAAGAAGAGTTCTTACTGTTACAAGTTTTGCCACTGGTGCAAAGGTATCATGGAAGTCAACCCCTTCCATTTGTGTAAAACCCTTCGCCACCAATCTGGCTTTATAGCGTTCTATCTCACCATTCGGTTTATACTTGATTTTATAAACCCATTTGGAACCTATTGCTCGCTTTCCCGGTGGTAAGTGTTCAAGCGTCCAAGTACCATTTTTCTCTAAGGCTCGAATTTCATTTTGCATGGCTTCCCTCCACTTTGCATCCTTTGAAGCTTGTTTAAAAATTTTGGGCTCTTCGTGACTGCTCACAGCAGACAAGAAGGTCATGTGTGTTGAAGAAAAATTCTCATACGAAATGTGATTCGCTATTGGATGGTCCGTGGAAGAGGACTATGTGGTTGCTGACTTCGAGTTGTCTATCGAGGGAGGGAGTGTGACGACAAAGTCGTTGAATTTCTTAGGCATAGTTCTGATTCTTGGTTCTTTTCCGAAAGACTGTTCAGGAGCTTATGGTTCTTCAGCATGATGTCGTGGTTGTTCGCCTTGACTTTGAGATTCTTGGTTGACAGGAATTGTGTTGTCCTTGACGTGTGTCTGAACAACATCTGGAACTTCTTGTATTGTTTCTGTGGGTGTATCTTTTGCTTGATACACGCTTTCTTGTTCAAGTGGGTCACCTAGATTGAAATTGTGTTATGTATTGCAGGGTTGTGGTTTGTCTTTGTTTTCCCTAAAGGGAAAACTATTCTCAACAAACTTGACATCTCGTGATACTATGATCTTGTTGTCATCAAGATCATAAACACGATATCCCTTTTTACCGTGTGGATAACCCACAAAAACTCCAGGCCTCCCCCTCACTTCGAATTTATCTCCTTTTGTTTCTGTATTTCTAGTATACACCAAACAACCAAAGACCCTCATATGATCATAATTGGGTTTCTGCTTGAATAAGAGTTCAAATGGCGTTTTATAACCAATTACCTTTGATGGTAATCGATTGGTAATGTATGTGGCTGCAAGAACACACTCGCCCCAAAACTTGATTGGTAACAAGGCTTCAAAGCGAAGGGAACGGGCAACTTCAAGAAGGTGGCGATGCTTGCGCTCAACTACACCATTTTGTTGTGGTGTCTTGACGCAAGATGTTTCAACGGTAATCCCTTCTGTCGAATAGAATTCTCTCATGATTGTGGAAACAAACTCACCACCATTATCACTCCTTATTCTTTTGACTTTCTTTTCGAATTGTGTCTTTACCATTTTACAGAAATCTATTAAGTACACGCTAGCTTCATACTTGTGCTTGAGAAGGAAGACCCAAACCGCCCTACTATAATCATCCACTATGGTCAAGAAATAACGTGCACCAGAAATAGAGGGGGTACGATACCCACCCCATATGTCACAATGGATTAACTCAAAACATTCATTCGTCTTAATAGAAGAAAGGGAAAATGGCAATCTAGTAAACTTTGCCTTTACACATGAATCACACGTTTTATTTCTTAAATCAAAAGTAAAATTCTTCAAAAAATCAATCCTATGAAGTTTGGATTATGAAGCATGTCCAAGTCTTCTATGCCATGCCTTTACATCAGTGGAAACCAACATAGCCTTTCTCTTCCTTACTTCCGAGTCCATCCGGTACAGCCCCTTCTCCCGATTACCCACACCAATCAAGTTCCTCGTTTCTAAGTCCTGAGCAACACAGAAACCACGAAAGAAAGTTACAACACAATTGAGATCATCTGTTAAATAACAATCTACTGAGAGTAAATTGCACTAAAACTTGGGTATATATAAAACATCTTTGATCTGAATCCCATTGGGAAGTGTCGGTCTTCCCTTTCCCTCAACAGGCACCAGGGCACCATTTGGTATTTTGACTGGGTTCTCATGACTACAGTTCACTTTGTTTTCAAGTAAATCAATGTTTCCTGTCATATGTTCAGTTTCACCTGTATCAACAATTCGAGGCTTATTTTTGTGATTATTACCTGCCATATTAGCACTTAAATCCTCCGTGTCTCCAGCCTTAGGCGTGTTGATAGAGAGATGTTTCAGAACCAAATGGTATTGTTCACCTGTTAGCCCTTGTATTGGGCTTAACCTAGAATCTGCGAAAGCTTCCTTTGGAGCTTCCTTCTTCACTTTTCCTGGCCACCAATCTGGGTACCCTATCCTTTTAAAACACCCCTCCTTGTTATGCCCAGTTTTGCCACAATGAGCACACTGCTCCACTTCTTGTGTATTGCGATTCGCCTCCTTGCTGGATGACTTGTTTTTCTGTGATGCGCCATTGTTGGTGGTATCTCGTTTGTAAGAAGAGCTTTGGAAGGCGGCGGCTTCATGGGAGGGCTTTCTTGTCGCTGAAATCGCTCGTTGCTGCTCGTCCTCAACGACCAGATGATAAGCTGCTCCCAAGGTGGGTGTGGGCTTTGAGGTCAGAATTTGCGTTCTGACTGTAGAGTACACATCATCGAGGCCCAGCAAGAACTCATAAAGCCTTTCTTTTTCTTTACCTTCGTTCAGCCTTTTTCCTATTTCACAGGTGCAAAGCCCACATGTACAGTGGGGTAATGGAGTCACCGATTGGATCTCATCCCAAACAGTACGCATCTTAGTGTAATAGGACAAGACCGAGGCTCCGTCTTGATGTGTGACAGTCAGCGTCCGCTTCAACTCATAGGCACGTGGGGCACTTTCTTTCCCAAAATGCTCTTTGAGATCGTCCCACATCGCTGTTGATGTAGATGCATATTTTACGCTGGATCTAATGTTCTTCTCCATGGCTGTGGTGAGCCAGCCCTTAATCATGGCGTCACATCTCATCCACATCATGTAATTGTCTGCGTGTTCTTCCGGTTTCTTAATGGATCTGTTTACAAAGCCCATTTTGTTTTTCGCAAACAGGAAATTAGCCATCTCCTGCGATCAATCCCCATAATTGCTGTTTGTTAACACTTCGTTCACCTGCATCTGTCTCGGTGAATCTGATGCATGTAGATAGAATGGCGAATTGGAATCGATTGTGTTTCCTCCATCTCCGCCGGAACTCTCTGCCTTGTCCTTCTCCTTATCATCAGTACCCATCGCTAATGAGTTTCGAGTTCAGGCCAGATCGATGGCTCTGATACCATAAAGAAATTGATTGAAAAACTTATTCTCATTGATATCCCACGATGGGTATAAATAACATCAAGGAAAAGAAAATAACAAACTAGCCTTAACAATTGGTAAAGATAAAAGAGATCTAAGCCAACTAATAAACTAAAGATAAGATAAGACGAGAATTATTTAAAATTCCTTTAGGTAAAGCATTGGTTCTGTTCATCTGTTACTCTCCCTTTTGTCTTGATTAATTTTTCTTTCCCACATGATCTCGTGATCTAGTTGGCTGGTGTTGTTGCTGTTGAAGTTACCGGAGGCCCTGATGTTCCCTTCCATCCAGGAAGAAAGGTTAGTAGGCTTGTTCACCTAAATCTGCTAACTATTAAATATTTATTTGTTTGGTTGACTTTGTTGGATTTGTGGAAACCACTTAGGGATTTCAAATGTATATATTTCAGTATATATAATATAGAATGTTACAAAGAGAACGCACACCAATGACAAAATGAACATGTAAT